TTTTTTTTTTTTTTTTTCATTTTTTATTTTTAAATATAAGCTTATTGTCATAAAAAAACCTTTTTATTCACAATGTATATCACTTCTAGTGTAATTTTCTTTATATTTGTTTAGGTTGCTTTGTGGAAATTTTGTATAAATTCTTCATCCAAATGTGATGGTAATATTTTTGTTACTTGGTGTTTGTCTCATATTTACCTATTTGGTTGTCAGGGAAGGTAGCTATATTGAAAAATAATTTGATACTTTATTTGTTTATTGACAAAATTTGCAATATGCAGATACAATGCCTCTGCTTTGTTTTGGTGGAGATACAGTTCCAATTTGAACGGTTGCCTGGGCTCCTTTTGATTGGTTAGTAGCACTCAACCTTCTTTATGCATTCTTTTCTAAGAACATATACACCTCCTAAATGGTGTGTCCCTATGTATCAGAGACCGACACACGTATGACACTCGTAGGACAGGTATTAGTGAAGTGTCCAATTTAAAAGACATTTTTTTCTCTCTAACATAATTTTATACACAGCTCCAACATAAAGTTAATGAGGACGAACACAATGATTTTCTAAAATCTCATAAATTTATTGAAGGATTTTCAATTATGGTTATAGAAACAAGAAATAAATCATATATGATCACAAATATTTAAATCATGTATTATTTTAAATACATAAATCTTGATTTCCAATTTAAATAATTCATATATAGATCTGTGTCCCCCAATCCTATATTTTGGAGATTACACATGTTGAAGTGTCTGCATCTTAGTTGTGTCCAGTACCCGTGTTAGTATCTGTGCTACATACCTCTTTCTTGACTAGGTCCACCTTCATGATTGGTGCATACCCATCACTGATTTGTTTCCGTTTTCTTATTTAATTTTTCCCAGAGGATACTAATTCTGATTTAGCTGGTTTCTTTCCTTAATCAAACTCTTTCCTATTGAAAAGTAAAATGATACCACCAATTTTGTCTGGATATGGTTTGTAAGTCAATTGTTTTTTGTTTGAGGAGTACTCATGCACCATTGTTTTCTGATGAAGATTGCGTCAACAAAAAAACATTAGTTTATTAAACATGCAAACATCATATACTTGAATTAATCTATGTATAAATCAGTTGGACATCTTTTTACCCTCATGTTGAATGCAATGTGAGATTTTGTTATAATATTCCAGGGATCCAGAGATTTCTAATATAGTAGTAACTGCTGGACATGAAGGTCTGAAGTTTTGGGACCTGCGGTGAGTCTGTTATTTCATCCTCTATTTTTGTTTACTTTGTGATCTTATTTCTTTCTTTTTTTAAGTTAATTTTAAACGTCAATATGTAATATTTATGTTTCATTCTCCCTTAAACTAGAATGCTAGTTTCTATCTTCTTAATTACAATAAAGTTTTGTTAGCACTTAATTTCAAGAGGAGAGTCCAACGTAAAAGCCTAAACCATTAGCTAAAAGAGCCTCTTGACTTAAGTACCACATAAAGTAACTATTCTATTCATTGTGAGACTCCTAACATTGTCATTCCTTTTAAGCGCTTACATCCATTACAGCAGCTTCACTCTCGATACTGACTTTATCCCATTTCTCCTCAACATGACTTCACTCATCTGTAAGTTCTTGGTTTGCACCTTAATCCAGCCTATAGGTAAGACCTTTGGTAGCGCAACTCTCAATGAACACACCAATTGTTAGAACTTGAGTAAAAGAGGAGAGCCTAACCCAAAAGACTAGTCCATTAGGCGGTAGAACTTCTAGGTTTAAGTGCCACATCAAATAGCTTATCCTACTTAATGTGGGACTCCTAGTACATTTTTATGATAGAACTTACGAATTTTGTTTTGAATGATGCAATTTTTTTTTGCAAATAAAACTTGGCTCATACCTGTAAAATGGTGAACTGATCTCTTGATTGATTTTAGTAGCATGTAGATTGGTTCTGTTACCAAACCACCATGAATTGTAAGTTGGCTAGTTTTGAGTTAACTTATGTTGTTTTATCAGAACTAGGCCAATTACCGGAATCTAATAGTGTCTCAATCTGAACTAAAAATTCCTGATCGATACATCCATGTTTTTACTTAGTTTATTCATAATAGGTATTTTTTGCCATGCGTGTGATGTAATTTTATCATGGATTTGGTGTGGTCCGCCATGCTTTTATTTTTTTCTTTCGTTTATTTTTTATTTTTAATAAAATCTTCATGTCATGGTATTGATACCTAGCATGAGCCTATTCAGAGATATTATGAGTACAACACATACATTTCTTAAGAATAGTAGGCCAATCTAAAGTACAGCCATGTAAAAGAGTTGACGGAAAAGGATCCATGGCATAGAAAGTTGTTGGAGGAGTATTTGAACCATGAGAGACTTTAGCAAGAGTGGAGGAGCTCTTTGTGTCTTGCGTTGATATGAAAGGAGAGGTGGTGGAATACTGTTAGTTTGGTTTTCATTTGAGTTGGAGTTAGAAGAAGTTGAAATCATCGTACGAGCAAAGGATTTTACAAGGAGAACCTGCTGATTGAAACAAAAGTTTCCATGGAGGACAAGAATAAAGGTGTCCTTAAAAATGTGACATCTGTTGACATGTACTTTTTGTAGTCGGAGAATAACCTCTATATCCTCTTTTGAGATGAGAATATCCTAGAAAAACACATTTAATAGCTTTTTCCAAGAGTTTGTCTAAACCTTTAGAGACATTATGAACAAAACAAGTACAATTAAACATCCTAGTGAGACATGAAATAAAGGATCATTTGGAAAAATAATGGAGTGACACATTTCATTTTCAGGAGAGGAAGAAGACATTATATTTATTGAAAGAACAATTAATGATAATTACATCTCCCTAATGATGTACATGAACATTTGTATTCAACAATAGAGAGTTTCACTTTCAATGATGTGCCTATTCTCTACAATGCCATGTTGTTGTAATGTGTGAGGATAAGTGGACTAATGTAAAATACCCTATAAAGGTAAGAAGGAAGAAGTCGAATGTATAATATTCTATTCTTTATCGTTGTAAGTTCTGAAGACTTCGTTCTTTTTTTTCCAAATTGGTTCTTAATAATATTAAAGAAGGACATGAGTATGGGCAAAAGTTCATATATGTTTTTCATTAAATAAACCCAAGTACAATGAGAAAATTCATCAATAAAGGTTACCAATTATCTAAAGGCAAAAGATGTGGCATGTCTTGGTCCTGAAATATGAAATATGTGAATGAATGGTAGAGAAAGTTGTGCTATAACTTTTTTTCAGTTAATTTTGGAAATGATGACTTAACATTCTCAACATTAAGCTATTATCTTCAACTTGACCCAAACAACCATGCAAAAGTTTTAGAGTCAAGCTAGCAAAGCAGGACATAGGTGGGATTGTTTTCAGATAATGATGTATCATGATTCATGCTTCTCACCAATTAGACAACTTAAATCATGTTCCTGTGTGTCAAAGGGATCAACATCAAAGGTTTCAAAACAATTTAAAGAGCTAGTTAACTAGCAGTGTGGAATATACAAGGCATAATTAAGGTTTAAAAAAGGATAAAGGACTTGACCAATTCTTTCATATGTAACTTTGGATCCATTGGTTAACAAGGTGGAGAAGTTTTGGGAAGAGATAAATGAGGATGAAGAATGATTACCTGAAATATGATTAGAGGTACTTGAATCAAGTATCCATAGACCTTTACCTTCTATAATTGAGAAATACAAGCTATTGATGCACTTTTTATACATATGACAAAAAAAGGAAAGAGTACATTCCAGGGAAATGTTATACCCTATAACACTCAACCCTTAGATTAGGTAAATACACCCAAAAGCAATATAATAACAATCATAATTTTAACAATTAGCTTTGCTTTTTTCAACACTATAAAGGTTATATTTTTGTATCTTTCCAAGTCAAAGTGTATGATTTCTTGTTTACAGAGGAACTGCATTTAGCCTGTGTCTGGTAAACTTGTTTACAATGGTTTGCTTTATGATGGAAATTTGTTTGTAGTAATCCATTTCGTCCTTTGAGGAGCCTCCATCCTGCACCGAGAATTATATATAGTTTGGATTGGCTGTCAAAGCCAAGTTAATACATCATTTTAACTGAATCAAATGCTGTCTAAATCGTCAATGTAATGAACGAAGAATGATTCTGTTGGTACTTTTTCTAGTTGCATCATTATGTCCTTTGAAGATGGAACAATGAGAACCATTAGCTTGGCGAAGGCTGCAAATGACTTTCCTGTCACTGGAGAAATATACAGTGGAAAAAAACAACCTGGGTTGCACGGTTCTTCATATGCATCTTTTGCCATTTGGAGTGTTCAAGTGTCACGTTTAACAGGTGTGTTTTTCAGTATGCATTGACAATATGATTATATAATCTTATTGCTATAAATATTTTACTTTTGGCATTAAAATACTTTTGTACTATTGATCTTACTCTGTAAAGTAACCGTTAGTATTTCTGGGGGAAGGACTTTCTTGTAATGACAAATTTGTCCTCATTTGTTTACTCAATATCATAACGGCGCACTAAATTACTTCATTATCATTACTACAATTTTGTAAATTGATGGATTTGCTTTTATTATGTTAGGCATGCTTGCTTATTGTGGTGCAGACGGTACTGCCTTTCGTTTTCAGGTAGTTCTTATAATTTGTTGGAGATTGAAAGCACCTGCAGTGCCTTTTTTTTTACTTGATAGATTCTTATGACCAATAGTCAAGAGTTTTCAAACCCCACACTTTATGCTGAAGTTGAACTTCAACTTTCAACACAAGGAAGTTTTGGCTTATGCATTGTTAATTTTTTAGTGCAAGCAAAAAGGGCTTTTTGCATATGTACCTCCACATAGTAACTGCAGGATATAATAGAGTTGATTTTTCACACACAGCCCATAATTCATGTAAAATTTATTAGCTAATATTTCCCAAATGACTAATCACTCCAAAGGTTTGCATGCTGAGTCCTTATTTATGTAACTAACGACTCAATTTCTTTGTCGTATATATTGGGCTAGAGGCTTTCGTATATCTTGTTTAAGATTAGGAGTACAAGACCTATTATACAGTTATGATGACATGAACCATGGTGATTTTTTCTAAAATGTATGATATTGGTGAGAAGTGCTACTGCCGAATAAGCTAAATAAACTTTAGGGTAAATATAATTTCACTCGTGCAGTTTTACTCTTTCTCAAAGTACCCTCCTATTGTTCTACTAACTTATGTGTCAAACTGTTACTTAGTCGAAAGGGCTGTGGGTATGGCTCGAGAGGGTTTAGTGATACAAAAATAAAAAGGGGTTGGCATTTAGCATATTAAACAGTAGGGGGAAGTGTTTAAAATGACTTGAATACCAAAACACGTGGACATGTGTCAGAGCACTTGGAGCTTTTTAATGAAATGCCCTGCTTGTCTTGTGACTTTTATTGATGACTAATCTTAAATTAAGACCTTGATGTTTTCCTTAAGGAACAAGGATTTGAGGGAGGACTTCGTATATGGAAAAAGTATAATGTTGACAGTACATATCAAATTTGTTAATGAATTTTTCAAAACTATGACTTTAATCCTTGATTAATGTTCTGTACAAATGAATTTTCTCGAACCTCCTCCCCAAATGAAAGTAATTCTGAGCTTGTTTTGATATAATACTCAGCTTACTGCCAAATCAGTGAAGACAGGTCAGAAGCTAGTGATGATAATTAATACGACTAGATACATTTTTGAAATGGTATTTGTTTCCTTGATGGATTTACATAATATAAAATATTTAATATAACTCATAATCTTATGACTAGAAAAAGAAGATATTTATAAAAGCTTTTAGATAAACTTAATTATGAAACACTATAACTATAAATATGATTTTATATTTATGTTTTTTTAATTATAATTTCTATGATCAATTTTATTCTATAATCAATCTGATATAGCAATAAAGTCTATCTATTCTCTTATAGTGTTGCATAAATTATAGTAAAAGTACACACATTTTAGTAAACGCTTTTACCTTATATATGGACATGTTTAGTATAATTAATAAATCTCAATGTTTCAAAATTTTAATTTTATTCAGGGTGAACGGTGGAAATTACATACAAAGGCCATGATAAGATTTAGGTAAAAAAAGATAATTAACTTATTAAAGTGAATGAATAAAATAATGTGACTAATAATCATATTAGTATATTTACTGATAAATTTATGAGATTGAAATCTATTTATAATAATACAATTTTGGCTTCCATTTCAATGTTTAAGATGGAAATGGAATTACAATTTTGACTAAAGATCCAAATATCAGACATTAACTTTTTGCTAATAATTTTCTTATTAACATATAATATAATCAGTGTTAATTAATATTCTTATCGGATAATGTCAGAAATTAATTATAATAATAATTTGCGGCCAATCAATGAGAGCCGCCGGCGGCTTTTGCATATGTAGGCTCCAAGCTTTTATTTTAAATTCTGCTTCAATTGTTTTTCTTCATAGATCTAATATATATTTAGATAAAAAGATATTTATAATTTACATTTATTAATTCTTTAATCAATAAATCATGCAAACATGTTATTTAATTAAAATTACAATTTATTAATATTTTGTGTGACTTAGACTATTAAATCATCACTTAAACAAACTTATTTTATTGAAATAAACATCTTACGTTTGTCTATTCATCATATGAAAAATTTATTTACGAATAATTTATATTTAATCTCACTGAATGTAAAAATTTGTCGGATTAACAACAGTGAACTAATACAAAAAAAGAGAGTAAAATATGTCTCTAATGTTTTGTGGGATTTTCTTCAAGTGTTTTAAAAATACATTTTCATTTTTGTTTGTAAATATATCACTCCCTTCTTAATGCCTAATAAAAACATGAGAGTCAATAAAAATAATTATTTTAGTCAGTTTTGTTGAGTTTTTAAAATACTATTATTAATGTACCAAAGTTACTTCCATTGATGTTTAATTTTTTTTATTCTACGTATTCATTGCAAAAACAAATTAAGATTTCATAAAAAAATACTTTATAAAAAGACCCCACACATTTTCTTTTTGTAAAATGTATATTTTCGAATTATATAGAATTTTCTCCCTCTAATTAAAAGACCATATATTAAAATAAAAGGTAATACTTTTAAAAATCCTAAATTAAATGCTAAAATGTTTTAGAATTATTTAGATTGATTGAATTGGTAGTACATCACATGATGACAACTAAGCAGCGTTTACAAGTCAACTTGACTCCATACATTATTAGATCTCCTTTCGATCTTCTTTTAAGTATCACAAACCATTAACCTTTTAGCATTCACTTTTGCAGTTTCTCTGTTTTCTCTTCACCTCTTGCTAGCTCTATAATTCCATAAAACAGCATTCTCAGAGTTTCCTTAAATGCTTGATACCATAATACAATGACCAAGATCTTTGTGTTGTCGTGTGTTCTGTTCTTAGCTGCTTCTGGTTTTGTCCATGGCTCTCATGAGAAGAAGAAGGATAATATTAGGTTGTTTGAGCTGAAGAAAGGTGACCTTTCTATAAAGGTCACTAACTGGGGTGCAACACTTGTGTCTGTCATACTTCCTGATAAAAATGGTACATATACTTCCATTTTCTTAGAGTTCAAACCTTTTCATCAATTGCTTATCTTCTTTTATACATTTCAAGACATTCATTATGTTTTCTTTCCCCATGAAGGAGTGCTGGGTGATATTGTTCTTGGATATGATTCTCCCATGGCATACACGGTAAGTCATAGAAAACATATTTTTTTGATATACATAAATTTTTTACATTCATTTAATACTATCATTTCTTATTTTTTACTCTCTCTTTCTTAAAAAAATACAAAAATTTATATTTTTATAATTATTTTATCCTTACACTGTGTGTCAAATAATTGTAAAAGTGTGTCCTAATTAGTAATTTCTTTTAGTTGAGTATAAAGATAAAATAGATTAATTATACTTTCCTTTTTATTTTATAGAGTTTACTTTCTTTCCCTAATGCTCTTTAACATGAATGTAGATTAAAAATACATTGTTCAAGTTTATTAATACAAAAGAATAAGATGATAAATGAATTTTAACATTTATATAAATAAAATTAATTTGTAAAAACTTTCTTATTGATTTAAATGTTTTCATTTTTAATTTTTACATAAATTAATTTTGATTCAGGTAAAGAAGTCTATTAACTTTTTATATATTTTGTCTTCTAATAGTTTCTGGGATGTTTAATGGCATGTAAAAAGAATTTGCTCTGTTCTGTACACACTTAAGTGACAACATTAGAATTTGAATTTTCTGCATAAAAAGTTCACTTTAAATTAATTTAACATATCATAAATGTGATGACAGAAGATAAATATAAAAGGAGGACAAAAAGTCAGCAATTAACGACTTTGTGATATATAAAATTTAAGTTTATTTGTAAAAGTGAGAAACGTAGTTTTATGCGTCTGAAATAGATCCATATCATGTTGGTATATTTTATTGAATAAAACGTTTCTTTTTCTTTTTAATGTGAAGCATGCAACACGAAATGAATATTCTATACATATAAACTAATTTAAAATTTCAATGAAAATGACTTTTCAAAGTTTGTATCTCTTTCATTCTCTTTATAAAAAACAGTGAACTTCTCTTATTTTATAAAGTAACTAAGTGTAAAAATGAAAGAGGTAAAAAAAACATTATCTGTGATTAAAATTGCAAAATCATTTTGCAGAATGATTCATCTTATTTTGGAGCTACAGTTGGCAGGATTGGTAACAGAATTGGAGGAGCTCAGTTCACTCTGAATGGAATCCATTACAAATTAGTTGCTAATGAAGGAAACAACACACTTCATTGTATGTTTTACCATAGATACAATTCAACACAACTTTTCCATAGTTTATGGTCTGTGCTGCTGCAATATCATTCAACACAACTTCAAGTGCTAATTTTCTCATACAGAAAGACTGACTCATTCTCTCTCACCGATCTTACTTATAGCTGGACCCAAAGCATTCAGTGATGTTCTTTGGGATGTGAAAAAGTATATAAAAGATGGAGACAAAC